TAGCATAAAATATCATAAAATCAATGGCCTATCCAAAAAATGCCATAAACCATAAAGCGTGCAGGACTTTTTCACCCAGCTATACCTATTGTGGTTAAGTAAACATCCAGGAAAAGGAATTCCTGTTTTCTTTTTTCTTGTATAATTCACTCCTTGACTAGTTTTATGGCTCTGTGGATTTGCAGGGAGAAAGGTGCTTTGGAATGGCAGGCACTCACATCAAGCCAGCATCTCCATCTTTTCCCAGGCTTGCACATCTGCCCTTCGTAGCTATAGCTCAGGTTTGGAGAAAGGCGCACTAGGTTTTAAGGAGCTGCAGACATGTTCACTTTTTTGCTTGTGAAACTTAGAGAAGCAGAAAGAAAAACACACTACACAGCGCTTCAGTTTATGTCTTGAAGCACTTATTTATATTGCTTATAAAATGGTTTCATAGCTCTTGATACTTGGGAAAGACTCCACACCCAACTTCCCTTTATTAAAACTAGTGAAATGAGTACAAAACTTTGCACAGGTTTTCTGGTTTTCCAGAAACCTTTATGAAATTGATAATCGATAAAGTGGAATAGAGAAGGATGTATATCTTTTTAAAAGTATGCTGGATACTTAAAGCTATGACATTTTTCGTTCCTTCTTAGGCTCTGATCTCGGAACCCCATCTCCTGAGCTCATCTAATGATGCTGACTATGAAAAAAGAATGGCAGGAGTGCAGGTGCAGTTCCGAGAAACCCTGGGAACCTATCAGGCCGAGATTTTGAGCGCCCAGACTCGCCTCACTGAGCTTGAGGTTCAGGTAAGGGCATTGTGCAAATAACAGAATATCAGCGTTGGAAGGGACCTTGGAGGTCTTCTAGTCCAACCCCCTACTCAAGCAGGAAACCCCATACCATTTCAGACTAATGGTTGTCAAATCTATTTTTAAAATCCTCCAGTGTTGGAGCACCCCACAACTTCTGGAGTCAAGTTGTTCCACTGGTTAATTGTTCTCACTATCGGAAAATCCTTAGTTCTAAGCTGGTTCTCTCCTTGATTAATTTCCATCCATTGTTTCTTGTCTTGCCCTCTGGTGCCTTGGAGAATAGTTTGACTCCCTCTTCTTTGTGACAGCTCCTCCGATATTGGAACGCTGCTATCATGTCTCCCCTGGTCCTTCTTTTAAGTAAACATAACCAATTTCTGCATCTTTCTTCATATGATTTAGATAGAAATGGATCTTCTTAGAAATAAAAAGTTAGGTAGAAGTCTTCTTTTAATACAAAAGCACTGGTTTATATATCAAAGACTTGCAAGAATTTTATTTTTATTTTATTTTATTTGAAAGAAGGACCAGG